TTGAATTTGGTAAGAATGGCCTGGAAAGAAGGAACAGAGGCTCCAGGCATTGGTTTGACCTGAGTTCACTGTGACTGGAGGATGGACTGGAGAGTAGGTGGAGGAAGATGTTTCCCTTGCCTCATCTTTACAGAGACATTTTCTAGAGAGGATGTACAAGAGGAACATCTCATCTGCATGCCTGCCTGTTGCTAAGGGACATCCAGGTAGAGCAGCATCAGACACAGCTCAGGAAGCCCAACATGTGCCCTGGGACCTTCATCCACAATCATCTCAGCTCCTCTGACTGCTGGGAACGAAGGGCTCTGCCTGCAGGGATCTCTGCTCAGATGATGTGATGATAAAGGGAAAAGGACTTGGAAACCGGAAAGAACCAGATGTCAGCCATAGATGCAAGCAGCCTCCTCTTAACAGTAAGGTCACGGCTCAGAAACTGAAGGTGCTCGAAGTCACTGAGAGGCTGCGTTCAGTGGGGTTGCCAGCCAATTCTTTGGTGTTCCTTGCATGAGTCTCATTCCGTTGCTTATTTTGTTACTTTCCCTTTAAGGGATTGGGAGTCCATTTCTAACCAGGTTCTGAAGATTTGATTATGGGCATTACTGTCACAGGCCATCTGGTCATATTACCATCAGACAAAAACCGTGTCTTCAAAGATCTGAGAGAACAGGGGAGGCACTTGGGCGATTCCACTGACAGCGCAGTCTGCTCTGAACTGAATTATTTTCCTATGCTAAATTAAAGTTTCCTTAAAATCGACTAAATTTGGTGTTCCTCACATGTTGTCTGCAAATTCCCCATTTCAGCCTTTGATGAAAATCAGACGGAAGTCTTGATGCCAATTAGGACTGCAAACTTTACATAAATCCAATTTAGGTAAATTTCTCCTAATTAGGCTTAATCTTCTTTGTCGTCTCATCCCCGTGAAGTTAGGCAGTGTGAATCCCAGCCACAGTCTTTTGGTGTTTTAAACTTTCTATATTTAGCACTGGGTAGAAGTTGAATAAACAGTGATTAAATGAAAGGATGAGTCATCTGGGTTTTCTCAACCTTCTCGGTTGTTGGATGGAAAGAGAATAGGTTTTGGAATCAGCCGGTTTAGGGTTCAAATCCTATTTCTGCTATTTGCTAATTTGCTACCTGCATTTTCTTGAGGCCTCTGTGGGGTCACCATAGTTAGAAGAGGGAGGGAAGCAGCTCAAGGGAAGTATTTGTGTTCATTTACTAATGCTACTAATGCTACTGGGACAAAGCACCACAGGCTTACTGCCCCCATACCTCACTGATTTGTCAAATAACAATTCTGCAGGTCTGAAGTCCAAAATGGGTTTCATTGGGCTGAATTCAAGGTGTCAGCAGGTCTGTGTTCTCTTGGAAGACTCCAGAAAAAAACACATTTTGGGGCTGGTGCTGTGGCGCAGAGGGTTAATGCCCTGGCCTGAAGCGCCGGCATCCCATATGGGTGCCGGTTCTAGTCCTGGCTGCTCCTCTTCTGATCCAGCTCTCTGCTATGGCCTGGGAAAGCAGTAGAAGATGGCCCAAGTCCTTGGGCCCCTGCACCCACGTGGGAGACCCGGAAGAAGCTCCTGGCTCCTGGCTTCGGATCAGCACAGCTCCAGCCGTAGTGGCCAACTGGGGAGTGAACCATCAGGTGGAAGACCTCTCTCTCTCTCTCTCTGCCTCTCTTCTCTCTGTGTAACTCTCTGACTTTCGAATAAATAAATAAAATCTTTTTTAAAAAAAAAAAAAAGAAAACACATTTCCATCTCTTCCAGCATCAAGAGGCACATGCATTCTTTGGCGGGTGGCCTTCCCCCATCATCAAAGCCAGCAGTGTAATACCTTTAAGGCTCTAACCAAGGAAATCAACCCACATCAAGATCCTTACCTTAATCACATCTGTAAAATTCCTTTTGGTGTGTAATGGAACAAACCCAGGGCGCCAGGAGTCCTCTGTGGACTTCTGTGGAGGCTCATTACCCTGCTTGAACAGCAACCTTGCAGTCAGAGGCTGAACTTCACAGATCTGACAAAGGGTGATGGGAAGCACTCCAGCCATCTGCAGGGTGTCCCACGTGATGCATAGGACAGCAGCCATTTGTCTTCTTGGGAGGAATCTAGTTCTAACTGTGATGGGGGGTGGGGTGAGTCTCTGGTCTTTCTACTGTGGGTACAGGGGATTATTCAGGCTCTCCTTAGAATTCCTTAGTTTCTGTAAGATGGTGAGAGCTGCACCCCAGCCAGCTGAGTGTTTCACATACTAGGGGTCTTCAAGAGGTTTATAGAAAATGCACATTGCCAAAAAACTATGCTTCAAAAATGTTTGCACCAGAATAAACAAATCTTTTAATTCCATTTTCTATGAACTTTCTGAAGTACCCTCATATTTGGACCTGTAGTTAGCTAGAAACCTTTCTCTAATGATTGGGAGAAATGTCCTTTGGGGAGATTTGCCCATATGCAAGAAGGGCAGTCCATCCACTCCTTTACACTACGGAGATGGAGCCAGAGCACAGCATTTCAGCCCTAGGACGTTTGCTTTCTCTGTATTTTGCTTTATGCTCTTGGGTGTTACCAGGATCACAGCATTAGTGAAAACTGCATGGAAATATATGCATTTATTGTACTAGCTTTTTTGAGCATGCTCATTGCATTTCAGCCTACATTTATTATGAGAAAGCACAGAGAAATATCCTCAAGTTTCAGAAACCAGTACTAGTTAAGGGTTTCCCTCATAACTGCTTCACTTCTATCAAATGAATGCTAGCTCACACAGATGCTCATTCTCCCTATTTTTGCTAACCACTGAAAAACTAAGAGACACAATCATTGCTCACCTTGAATATAGCCTTAGGTCATCTGCATTCTGTGCATTAACTTCTTTTCCTGCCCTTATTGTTTCTTTTTCCTAGTTCTTCAACCCATTTTACATTTTAGCCATTATTGTTGGTAGGATCTTTAAACCCAGAATAAGGCATGATAACAACTCTTGTTATTTCCTGAGACTTTTTGTCTGTAGTGAGACACAGGCCTCTGGAACATTCCTCTTTGTTCCAGGAACAAACTAAGTTGAAAAAAATCCAAACATGAAACATCTTGAATGAGGCCAATGCATAAACACTGACTCTGGGCAGAAGTGAGTCCAGCATCATTGGCAAGACTGGAGCTTGTGTTGATAATATGAAATGACTCTCTAACACTTTGCATTCTGAGCACACAAAGATCAAAAATGCCAGCATTCTAAACAGCTTGTTTGCTATCAGCAGATTGCCAGAAACTAAATCCATTCCTTTGCTAAGGAATGCTTAGCTTTTATTATATCTTTACTCATGGTCAAAAGACATCTGCAAATTTGCTACAGTAATTGAAGATATCCTTCTGAAGGCATTGCTAAATGTACATGGTTTGAGATATGAACTAGTTTTTTTAGAAAGGAAAAATAGAATTATGCTTTATACTGCATAGGGTTTTGAGAGTAGAAAGACAGGAACAAAAATACCCTCAGTATTAACGCAACCTCCACTGAAAGTATTTTTGACCTATAACCAATCATAAGATTGAATCTGGCATGTCAGGACCTTCTCTTTCTAATCTCTACATCTATAGAGTCTAAAACATTGTGCATATTTAATGAGCACTTGGGAGTTTTAATGCCCTCTGCTCTCACTCTCAGAAAAACTAGAGTTCCACCAAAAGCCCAGTAGACTGCTAGAGGCATGCAGTAGCACTGAATGAATGGCACAGAGACACATCCAAAGAAGGAATTTCCACTATCCCTAATGTCCAGAGCAGAAATTCAGATTTTAGTTGCTCACCCCCTTGGCAAAACACAAAAGACAGATGACACGCAAAGAATTCCCAAGTGTAGTCAATCTCCTGGGTATGTACTTAGGGTTTTTTTTTATGACAGGCAGAGTGGATAGTGAGAGAGAGAGACAGAGAGAAAGGTCTTCCTTTTGCCGTTGGTTCGCCCTCCAATGGCCGCCACGGCTGGCACGCTGTGGTCGGTGCACCGTGCTGATCCGAAGGCAGGAGCCAGGTGCTTTTCCTGGTCTCCCATGGGGTGCAGGGCCCAAGCACTTGAGCCATCCTCCACTGCCTTCCCTGGCCACAGCAGAGAGCTGGCCTGGAAGAGGGGCAACCGGGACAGAATCCGGAGCCCCGACCGGGACTAGAACCCAGTGTGCCGGCACCGCAAGGCGGAGGATTAGCCTAGTGAGCCATGGCGCCAGCCTGTACTTAGGGTTCTGTACTTAAGCTGTCTCTTGGAATCCATGGAGATTTGTTCCAGAACCACCTTGTGGATACCAAGGTCTGAGGATGCTCAAATCCCGTACAAACTGACACAGTATTTTCATATCACCTGTGAGCATCTTCCTGTAAGCTTTAAATCATCTGTAGAATACTTATAATACCTAACACAATATAACCACTATGTAAATAATTGTCTTGTGTAGGGAATACTGACAAGAAAAAAGTCTGCACATGTTCAGTACTGATGAAATTTTTCCTAATATTTTTGATTCACTGTTGATCGAATCAATAGGTGAGGATCCCAGAAATACGAGAGGGATGGCTATCATTCCCAGTGTGCTAGTACAATCTCTAGCCACCTTTCCCCTACTCAAGAAAATGTATCAGAACACAAATGAGTAAGAATGTCATCCATACCAGAACCATCTCAAATGTACTGCAATGTATTGAAAAAGTAAGCCATCCACATTTTTTGGCATCTCATCTAATATTAGTAGTGTGTGACTTGTGAGGTATCTCGTGACGAATGACACAAGATTTCATCACGATACCAAGACCAAGGGTGCTTCTCAGGGAACCTTCTCTGAGGCTCACCGTGCCCTCAATACAGTCGTCTAAATGGGCTTTGCCACCCATATCAGTTCATTTCAGAGATTATTTATACTCATACCAGAATCTCATTGCCAACTAAGCGTCACTCCACTTTCACCACCTGGCCCTCTGAGAAGAGTCATGAGCAGCCGACTTACCACACCACCGCCAGCCGAGTGCACAAGCACAGACATCCCTTCTCGGAGGTTGGCGACCTCAAAGAGCATCACGTAGGCTGTGACGAAGTGCACGGGGAATGCGGCAGCCTCAGGGAAGCTCATGTCCTCTGGGATCTTATAGACGAACTCCACAGGCGTGCAGACCACCTCTGCCCAGGCGTTGTAGTTGACAAATGCCATGACCCGGTCCCCAATCTGGGCGTGGAGAAACACAGAGTTAGTGGAGGCAAGTTCAGGGCAGAGTCTTGAGGAGAGACTGGAATTATAGGGAGCTGTCCATGGTATGAAACATCATTATTTCTCCTAATTCTCCTACGTGTGAGCTCAGTCAAAATTCTTCTGAGTTCTTTTCTTTTATGATTTGATGAAATAAATGACTTTAAAAAAGAAAAGTGCAGCAAAAATCAAATTTCCACTTAATGCTCGTAAGTCATGCAACTGATTAGAAGAACCGTTGACAATTCTGTGTTTCCTGCCCATGCAACTTCACCACTACCCTCTCCTCTCAGAAGCAGGGAAGATGCTTGGTGGAGGGCCCTTCCCCCCTCAAAACTCTGGACATCATTTATGTGATGGCAAGACACCTGGGAAGTATGCACACACCTAATGAAAGTTGAAACTACTGAGAAGTTCCCTTTCTTTCGAAGCCAGATTTCGCCTGACCAGCTCTTGTCCTCCCTTTAAGGTTTAGGAAAGCCTTTCTCAGTCTCAAGTTCTGGGTGCTGGGGTATAATTGTAAATGAGGTACAGTTCATACTTTCCAGTTGTTCCTATTCCCTAAAAATTTAATGTGGCAAATAATATGAGGGACAGAGCTTAGAAGGCAAGTCCGTTTGGAAATGATACTTTTGTACAGACTGAAGCCTCAAGCCAAAGACATGAAGCTGTAATGGTGATGTTTCAGACATTGGTCCAGAGATAACAGAGATCACTTTTTGTGCAGGGAAAGCTGGGCTGGGGTGGTGAAGGGACGTGAGAGCAGTCTGGAGAGGAGCTCTAGAACCCTGGCCAGGTCTGTGCATTTCGGAATGGAGCTACCACAGCCTCAGCTTGGCTGACACAGTATTTCCAGGGCTGGGGGATGATGTGACAGAAACAAAAGCAACCAATCATGGTGCATTCGGTCCTGGGTGATGAATTGAGCTCAGGTAGATGACATCATTGGGGACATCACCAGAAAGGGTCTAAATGGGCCTGGACACCTCTGCTCCAGCTGCCAGAGCATCCTCTTGGAGGGCTGGGTTAGCCCGACACAGGTGAGATGACTGGGTCACAGAAGCAAATTGTCTGCACCAGTTTGTCTTCCAGGGCTCCCTTGCTAGCAACAAGAGTGATGCACAACCTGGGGCAAGCAATGAGCCAGTGTGATGATCTGATGGCTGGGCGTGGAGGGCTTTCTGTGTGCCTTGTCACATCCCCTTTCCCCATTTGGGAGGCTTGGCATAAATACAGGCAGGTCTCCCCCTCCCAAATACTCCAGAGTCTCTGGCAAGGGACGAGTCTTGCCTGGACTTATCTGTGTATTATCTGTGGCTGCAGGTTCCAGCTAACTTATTTTCTCCTCTGTTTCATATCCCTAAATGTCCCTGGACTCCTTAGGTGTTAGAAGGAGGAGATTTTCTGTCCTGGTAGTGGCAGCAGTCTGTCCCAGGGAGGAGACAGTTAAGAATAAAACATCAGGGCACAGAGGATTAAGCCTCTGCTTGTGACACCAGCATCCCATATCAGAGTGCTTGCTCAAGACCTGGCTGCTCCACTTCTGATCCAGCTTCTTGCTAATGCTCCTGAGAAAGCAAGAGAGGATGGCCCAAGTACTTGTGTCTGTGCCACCCACGTGGGAGACCCTGATGGAGCTCCTGGCTCCTGGTTTCAGCTTGGCCTGACCCTGGCTGTTGAGGGCATTTGAAAATTGAACCAGAAAATGAAGATCTTTCACTCTCTGTCTCCCCACTCCCCACCTTTGAAATAAACAAACAAACCTTCCTTTCTAAAAGGATAAAACACCAGCCAGTGATGACAACGTGGCAGCAGGGGTGGGGATTAAGATGATGTGAAAAAAGGAAAATGGAGTTGAGTTCCTGCACCTGCCCACTCTGAGCCCCTGCGTCTCCCCTGCACCTGTCGTGGAAAACCAGCAGGCAAAGCTTGGGGAGCTGCATCTGGGAGTCCTCCTTTCCTCGCAAGGACTTTGATCTTCAGCTAACTGTGTGTTCTTGTTGCTTTTAGGGAGATTCTAGGGCATCACTGGCTCTCCCAGCTGTCAGCAGCCTCAGCCAAGGCCACAGGAGTTTTCTTCCTGCTGATATTTTTGTAGAGGCAGAGGTACCATAGCTCCTGGCTCCAGGTGAAAATTTAGCCTGCCCTCTTTGGGGAGCCTCCCCCCCTCCACTAAGAAACAATGCAAGAAGTAGATATAATACCCTCAACCTGGATTCTCATCTGGTTCTATCCCTCAAAACAGAGTTTGCATCAAAGGTTATCTTACAGGCACAAGCTCTCGTCTAACCTCCCTTGTTTATAGATGAGGGAAACCGAGGCAATGGGCAGGTTGGAGCTCTGCTGAACTTGTGCCAATCACTCAGGGCAGGGACAGAACTAAAATTCTCTCGTTTGTCTTCCACCACCCCTTGTGGATTCCCTGGCAGTCTGGCTTGTTGTGATGTTTGTGCCAAAGCTCAGCACTGGATCATTATCACAGAGGACGTGGAGCTGGGTGCAGCAGAAAGCCATGCAACTCTAACGCAGAAGCCTGAACGGTAGAGATAGCAGAGGACGCCGCTGGGCGTGACGACGTGCGTTATGTGGCAGGCATTTTCTGAAGGCGTCACATGTTTTAGCTCGTCTAATCTTTGCAAAACCGCTACAAAGGCATGGCTGGATACTCTGTTCTTTTTATCAGTCATGTACCAAGCGAGACACGATGCAAATAGAAAAACAAGAGCAATTTTCCCTTCTCAATGCTAAGTATCTTTCATAGCATATTATTTTTAAATGTGAATTATAAAGAAGTAAACTAATGCTAAGAATTTCCGTGAGCTGCCAAGTGCCAGTGGTATTGGATCCTTCTGCTCATTCTGTTATTTGATATGCTAGTTGCTTATATTAAAGTTTTCAAGTGCAGTATTCAAATTGCTGTGGTCAGAGGAAATTCTCATCAAATTCGTGGCTTCCATACACCCGTGGTTTGGTTTTGATATATTTTTCTTATAACTGACCACTGTTTTCTTTGTGATTTAGTTTTCTCTTCAACCCTTCCCTAGCAACAAAAAGCCTTTTATGTGATGGGTTCTGTAAAGTCCCTTTGGAGATGAAGGATCATAGATTTTACATTTAAATTGAGGCAAAAAGAGATTAAATCATGTGCCTAAGGTCATTCAGGTAAAAATCAGAGCAAGGATTTAAAACCAGTAAGGCGGTCTTACTGCAGACATGGATAATTAACTCATTACACCCCAGATGAGTGCTGCAGAAAAGATAAAGTTACAAAGGGCACGCAACAGAGGAATCCGGGAAATCTGGGAATGATAGTTGAAGTCTTCAGGTCTCAGTTTCCCCATTCTAAAATGGGTATAATATTAGCAAAGAGTTCTGATGAAGACTAAATGATATAATATGCCCACAGTGTACTCAGATGATGCATGGAAAACGAGGAACGCCAAAAAACATTAGCTCATAAAAACAGCAGATTTGTTCCTGACCTAATTCACAATTTAGGGATCATAAGCTAAGCACAGGGGCCAGCATTGTGGCATGACAGGTTAAGCTGACGCCTGCAATGCTATCTTCCCATAGGGGTGCCTGTTCAAGTCCCATCTGCTCCACTTCTGATCCAGCTCCCTGCTAATGTGCCTGGGAAAGCAACAGATCACCCAAGTCCGTGTGTCTCTGGGGTACATGTGGGAGACCCAGATGAAGCTCCTGGCTCCTAGCTTTGGTCTGGCCTAGTTCTAGCCATTGCAGCCATTTGGGGAGTAAACTAGCAGATGGAAGATATTCTCTCTCTCTCTCTCTCTCTCTCTCTCTCTCTGACTTTCCTCCTCTAACTGAACTCTGCCCTTCAAATAAATGAAATAAATCTTTTTTTTTAAAGCTAAGCACAGATTTGCTATATATCATGAGGCAGAAGGAACAGCGCTGTGAGGAAGGAACCAAGGGAAAAGAGGAGCTGTCCCACTGGGAATAAGCGACCCAGTCTGGGAAGGGTTGAAGACCTAGTGATGAGTGTCAGGGAATCACCTTTAATGCAAGGATTTAGACCAGAAGATAACTACGGCTCAAGACTGACATCCTCGTCTTTACCAAGTCATGAAAACCCAGACATGGGCACAATGCTGTTGGGTAGCTGATGGCCTCAAGTACCAATGCGGAGTGTGATGGACAGAGTATTTCCAACACCTTGCAGTGGTGGAGTGGCCATCACAGCAGGGCAGACCACGCCTGAGTCTCTCATTCAATTTTGCTTCATCATTTCCATTTCATTATCAAAATGGCAAATGGTGGCTAAGCCATAGGATCAGCCCCAGCTTCCAAGTCTAGAGGCAGGCACCTGTAATATATATCCAGTTCACATCATTATTGGGTTCTGCTAAGAAAAAGAAATCAGTCCTGAGTGAATGAGCCCAAATTACTCCTTTACTTCTGGGCCTCAGGCAACAACTTTTCAATCCTCTTGCAATTGATCAAACCGGGAAAGCTATTTAGTGTGCTGCTGCGTGGATTCTCATCTCCAACATGATTGAAAATCTGAAGTCAAAATTGTAGGGGGAATATTAGGATTGGTTTTCTCCCCTGTTCCACCCCGACTGGAAATGGTGTAGGTGGCTTCTTTCATTTGCTTGTGCAGCTGCAAGTCATTGGAAAAGAAAGGGCTTGAAGGGTGGGATGGATAGTAACTTGCAGGGCTAACCAGCAGAAGATAAATCGTATTTAAAGGAAAACATACATAAGCAAGTATAGTAAGTTCTCCCTCTAAACCAAGTTTGCAGCATCACTGTTTACTGTTGTATTATAAAGTATTTGACTATTCATTGCTCAAAGTTAGAGTGAGTAGTCTGATTCTTTCATCTGGGGCCATGTGTAGGAGTGAGAGGCAGACAGTCTTTCTTATCTGCAGCACTGAGAGAGAGAGAGGGAGAGCGAGAGAGAGAGATGGTATGCTGCTGGTTAGGTTTCCTACCTGGGGACAGACAATGTAAATTCTGTGAAGGGAAAGGAAGAGATAGTTTTCTTCTTCTTTCTCAATATTTTTCTGCTGTATTATCTGGAAACTATTGACCAAAAATACTGATAAATGGAATGAGATTTCCAGAAAGTCATCATAATGAATTTGGAGCACATCGATATTTTCAGAGTACATTGAGGCTTAGACGCATTGAATCTGAGAAGCAGGCTCCAATTCAATTCCAAGGGCACTTTGGCTTTGCAGTACATAGAATTCTTCTTCCTTTCCTCCACTTAATATTGCAGCATTTGGGGGCTGGGACCAGAAGAAAAGATCATGAGATTATGGGAAGCGTAAAAAGGTTACAGTGCCTTGAATCCAGTTGCTATGACTGCTCACCACACTTCTGAGCTCACAAAAAACTGAATCCTTGTGAATGTCACCTGCAGGGACAAAATATCAATCTCCACCTTGCATGGTTATGCCAAGGCTGAGAACGGGTAACTTCTGATGGGTTCAGTTGGTGGTTTGTTCTCAAATGTTGGCCCCTTTTGTCCTCCCCAGGGGAGAACTTAGTGATCAGCAAAAGTTCTTAGACCTGATTTGCACTGGTTTTTCTCCAAATTACTCCAACTTTGTACAACTGACTTGTCCACAGTTCTTCTGTTTTTATTGATCAGATTGTACTGGATTTGCTTTATCTCACCAGGAAGGGTCATGCATCTTTTCTCAAGTTAAAATTTTTCTATTCTGGAGAATATTGAACAAGCAAAGAAGCTATCATCATAATGTAATAAACCCCGTTACCCACTGCTCTGACCCTAACGCCATCAGTTTGTGGTCAGGGATGTCCCACATTCAGGCATCGTTGCTACTTGACTTTTAGAACTTTTTCATCCCCAGTGCTACTTCCTCCATTCCTGAAATAGGAATTTATAAATGCTCACCTAAGTGCATCAGTTAAGTGAATATTTAAAGGAACTGAGCTATAAAATTTAGAGGCCATTTCCCCCAAAATTTTGGGCTTTGTAATTGATTTTTAAGGTGATGTGAAAATGGGAGGCATGAAAGAGGGAAGGAGCCAAAATCCTTAGTTCATCCAAAACCAGAGTCTCTTACTCACTGTCTGTATAACATGAACAAGGGGCAAACGACAGGATCTGTCCAGCCCATTTCATCAGATTGTTACCAGGGGCAACCAACACAGTATAGGAGACAGGCATGAGACGTTTGCAAAATTCTATCATCACAAACATTGTTAATAAAAGCCAAATAACAAGAAAGAAATATTGATAATATGTGGCCTAGGTTATTTCCGACACACCTTTTGCATAACCTTTTAAATCTGTGATTACAGCAGAGCTGGCACATTACCTCATAGCCTTTCACGCTGTCTCCCAGAGCTTCCACAATCCCAGAGCACTCGAATCCTGGCACCAGGGGAGTCTTGGGAGGGTTGTCAATATTTCCTTGTCGCACCATCAAGTCAATGAAGTTTAAACCACTGTGAACAAGAAATATAAAGACAAAACTTCAAAATGCGATTCAAAAACAGCCACACCCTGAATTTGTTTCCTTCCCTTCCCTTTTCCTTCTCTTGCTTTCCTTTCTTCCTTTTTCTTTTTAGCAGTGTCCCTAATAGTCACGCCACTTAACTAAATGTCAACAATAAAGCAAAATTCAATTATCTCCATGCAGACAAGTAATGCTTTGCTGGCAATGAAAACAACAGTTGCAGAGTTTACACCCAAATTCGAAAGATGAGCCCTTTGTCCTTTCTCAGAGTCTGTTTACTCTTATTTTAAAAGCACAGATTGGTGACCCTGGGTGTTGGACATTCTAGCACTTAGTCAAGGGTAAAAAATAAACTAAGAAGCGGTTATAAGCAGCCGGATACAATGGCCACAGCCAATTATGAGAAGGAGAGTGGAGTTCTGGTTTAAAAGGTCTCAGAACACACAACCATGTCTCCTCGATCATCACACATGCTTAAGCCAGCCCGGTGCATAAAGGGCGCTCACAGCAGTGGTCAGGAGGCATCACAAGCCTGCATTCTGCTCCCCAGCAGACGGTCGTCAAAGAAGAGAGCGTGGAGACAACCCCATGGATGTGGGAATAGTCGTGACCCTAAGCATATGGGAGTATCAAAGTGTTCTTTCAGAAGCCTATCACCGGTGTTTTGCAGTAACACATTATTTTTATTTATTTATTTATTATTATTATTTTTTTTATTTTTTGACAGGCAGAGTGGACAGTGAGAGAGAGAGACAGAGAGAAAGGTCTTCCTTTGCCGTTGGTTCACCCTCCAATGGCCGCCGCGGCTGGCGCGCTGCAGCCGGCGCACTGCGCTGATCCGATGGCAGGAGCCAGGAGCCAGGTGCTTTTCCTGGTCTCCCATGGGGTGCAGGGCCCAAGGACCTGGGCCATCCTCCACTGCACTCCCTGGCCACAGCAGAGGGCTGGCCTGGAAGAGGGGCAACAGGGACAGAATCCGGCGCCCCGACCGGGACTAGAACCCGGTATGCCGGCGCCGCTAGGCGGAGGATTAGCCTAGTGAGCCGCGGCGCCGGCCAACACATTATTTTTAAAATAAGGAAGCTATCATTGACATGTATCCAATCATCTCCACAGAAAACCACACATACTTGATGCCAGAGATGCTACCAATGCTCCGGTTTTATGTTTTGAGAACTACTCTTGAACATTGCATTTAACACTCCTTTCCTAATCACATGGGAAAATCCATTCCTGTAAATAAATGTTTTTCCCAACAGATGCACTTACTGTCTTCATTAACTACCATCAAAGGCAGACTTGGCTTAGAGAAACCAAACCCCTCTCTCTGACCCAAGCTCTGTCGCTCCCCCTCTTTGTGGAGGAACGACACAGGACCCTGCGCTGTTCTTTGGTCTGCTCGGCCCTTCCCGGGTTTGCTGCTGGTTCTTCCCGGGTTGGCTACCGTCCCTTCCACCTCCGTGGAAGGGCGGTTCCCCCTGCCACTTTCCCCACTTCCGCGGGGGAGCGGCACACCGGCTCTCTCGGGGCTCTCTCGGGGGCTGCTCAGATGTTCCTTCAGATGTTCCCGGTGCATGGGGTCTCTCTCCTCCTTTATAGTCCTCTTCCACCAATCCCAACTCTGCTACCCACACGCCGAGTACGCTGCTCTCCTCCAATCAGGAGCAGGTCCTGCTGTTTATTGGTTGAACTGGAGGCAGCTGTGTAGAAGCTGTTTACTCCTCTCCCAGCGCCATATTGTGGGAGAGCAGATGCATAGAATAAGTCTTAATTTGAGTAACAGTCTAGTCCCAGTTGCTCCCCACAAAGCTCTATCAGCACCTAGCCACAGCTTCCTTTCCAAGATGATTTGAGCTACTTTTTTATATTTTAAGATTTAGGTATTTGAAAGGAAGAGTTACAGAGAAGCAAAGAGAGGGAGGGAGAGAGAGAGAGAGAGGTCTTCCATTCACTGGTTCACTCCCCAAATGGCCACAACGGCAGAAGCTGAGCCAATCTGAAGTCAAGAGCTTCTTCCGGGTCTACCAGGCAGGTGCAGGGGCCCAGGGATTTGGATCATCCTCCACTGCTTCTCCAGACCATTGCAGAGAGCTGAATTGGAAGCAGAGCAACTGAGACTCGAACCCGTGCCCAGATAGGAAGCCGGCACTGCAGGCGGCAGCTTTACCCAGTATATCACAGCACCGGCTGTGAATACGTTTCTTTTTTTATTTATTTATTTATTTATTTTTAACAGGCAGAGTGGACAGTGAGAGAGAGAGACAGAGAGAGAGGTCTTCCTTTTAGCCGTTGGTTCACCCTCAAATGGCCGCCGTGACCAGCGCACCACACTGATCCGAAGGCAGGAGCCAGGTACTTATCCTGGTCTCCCATGGGGTGCAGGGCCCAAGCACTTGGGCCATCCTCCACTGCACTCCTGGGCCACAGCAGAGAGCTGGCCTGGAAGAGGGGCAACCGGGACAGAATCCAGTGCCCTGACCGGGACTAGAACCCGGTGTGCCGGCGCCGCAGGTGGAGGATTAGCCTATTGAGCCATGGCACTGGCCTGAATATATTTCTATAATGTGTATATATAGACTCCCAGAGGTACTTTGATAGTTAATAGTTATTCAGGCCATTTATTAATCAACATGTCCCCCAATAACATGGACAATTTCTTAAAATCTTGGAGACACCTGAATACAAATCCTAAGTCCACCTCTTCTACTTCATGTAACCTTGGATAAGTTGGCTAACTCTTCTGTGCCTCAATTGTCTCACCTGTAAGGAGGATGGGGTTATGGTAGTACCCACTCACAGGGTTGTTGTGAAAAATAATAAGAAAAGCACTTAATCATGGTGCCAGGTATGCATTCAATAGATCTTAGCTTTTAAATTCTATTTTAGAAGGCAGAAGTGTGTTTCTGAAAGACTCCCATTTAAAAAAAAGTTAAAAATAGTCTCTGAGCTGACATGGGAAAACTCTGTCTGTAAACTGACCTTCTGTAAAATGGCCCATTTTCTGACACAGTCAAATAAAGAAAGCATCATGTATGACAATAAGAGGAATTTCAACAGCCCAAACCAAGCGCTGCGTCTCACTCCGTGCATATTTTAGCTCTCTGGGTTTTCTTTCTGTGAAACATTATGATTTCCCAAGCCCCCGATGGAGAAAGGCTTGGCGTTCTGCAAACATGGCAGCCCCTGGGGAAGGCCCCATCCCAGCCGCTTGTTAGGCTGCTCTGTAAAGCAGTCGTCAATCACCACCCGGCAGGCACTGGGCCTGCTGACCGTAAACTGAGAGCCAGCTGCTTACTCTCAGGGACACAGGCTGAGACTGACTTTATAAAAGTGGTCCTGACCGGCGCCGTGGCTCACTTGGTTAATCCTCCACCTGCGGCGCTGGCTTCCCATATGGGCGCTGGGTTCTAGGCCCGGTTACTCCTCTTCCAGTCCAGCTCTCTGCTGTGGCCTGGGAAGGCAGTGGAGGATGGCCCAAGTGCTTGGGCCCTGCACCCGCATGAGAGACCAGGAGAAGCACCTGGCTCCTGGCTTCGGATCGGCATAGCTCTGGCTGTAGTGGCCATTTGGGGGGTGAACCAATGGAATGAAGACCTTTCTCTCTGTCTCTCTCTCTCATTGTCTAACTCTATCTGTCAAATAAAATAAAAAAAAAAAAAAAAAGTGGTCCTGACAGGTCATTGAAAAGGCCACCTATTTCCAGGATGCAGGTCCATCCTGAGAGTGACGATGGGTTAGAGCTGTTGACTGCAACACTGAGGAGGTGAACCGTTGTCACGGGACCTGTTTCGTGGTGCCCAACTACACCGCTGCTCTAGGTGTGATGGACCTAGCATTTGGCTGACAGATTCATTTGTGGCAGGACCTGTGCTAATGACTTTAGTTTCATTTTCAAAGGCTCAGTGATACTCCTATGAGCCATAGCCTATCACATCCATTTTTCAGATAAGAAAACTGAGAGCCAGGGAGCTTAAGTGATGTGCTTCATGTAACATCTTTAGAAAATGTCAGAAGGGATTTTAGTTTCAGCCATGTCTAGAATTTGAGCCCTCACCCAACATACTCTGCCTCCTCTTTATGGGAACTTCTCTTCCCATAGCTGGCTGAGGGCTCATGTCCAAAGCTTCCCTAACTCCTTATCTCTTCTCACTGTCAGCAGCTGATTTCACCAGTGGTGGGCCCAGTACTGGGGAGTGGCCATTCCTGATCTCAGGAGCAGCCTGTTCCTCAACACCCATGAACGAACGGACGATCTGGCCCAGACCTGGATGCTCTGTTGAAAACTGTGAGTTGAGAAACACAGCAGGCGAGCCATTTTGTGACAGAAAGCGTGTCGGGGAGGAACTGAGCTGGAGAACTGGCTGGCTGAGCTCTGGGGAGGTTTAACTGAAAATGAGAATAGTGAGAGAAGCAAAAGAAAAGAGAGAAGCATGATGAAGAGCAGCGGAACTGACCCAGCAGCCTGCGTGGGGTTGAGGCTGTACAGATTCCCATTGCCGTGTTACATAGAACGGGAGGATCCAGGCTGTAAACATGGTGAGGCCCAGCTCCATCAGGACTCCTGCTCTCTGATTTCCATGGGGTCCTTTGTCGGTTCACATGCATGTCGGTGTTACAACCTCTTTGCTTGGCTAACTTGTGTGATCTGATCCATCAAACGGAAGCAAATACCAACACCAGTCACCCATGGGGACAGGTGTTATTGACTCCACTTCCACTTTTTTTTTTTCAAGATAAAACAAATAACAATTGTTTAGAGATGTTAAGTTACCTGCCCATGGCCATATAGACAGTGAATGGTAAAACCATGGACTTCAGCTTGGGCCTAATACTTTCATTTTAGTTTTTCCACTGCAGCAGAAAAAAAGAAGTGTGGTGGTGGGGGGGGGTGTATTAAGCCATGTATCTTCATAATTATATTTGCCAGTATTCACTAAGATAATGTGATTTTTACCTGGAATTATTTTGGGGGTGGCAATGACTATACCT